GTACATCGGCCCAGGGCAACCCCCTCCTTGCCTCCCTCCCAGTCCCAGGACGGCCGCTGCAGCCTCAGCTCGACCTCAAACACCTCCTACCCTTCAGGCTCAATGGGTCGTCCCCCCTCAGCCTCTTCCCCAACTTTAACACGGTGAGCCCCGCATCACAAGCACCATCAGACACTAACACAGGAGAGTGAAGGAAGGTAATCCAGCAGCATGAAGGGTCTCCAGCAGAGCCCGAAGATCTAACATTTCTCAGAATGATCAGGAGAAAACTGGTTTGGTGGCACGCTGTTTCAGTCTTGCAGGAGATAAAAATGAATTCTCTTAAACCTTCAAAAGAGTTTAGAAAATGAGAAGTGAAAGTAGAATTAAAAAATCCACTCATTTAACCCTACCGATCCATTTCATTAGGCTTCTCTCTGCTTCTGTTGAGCTTGATGCCTACTTTCCTTTTGCTGGTTTTCACAACACTGTAAAAGTATTTCCTGTCCAGCGCTCGCATCACTGACAGACTGTAGAGAAAAAAAGAAAGTAAATTGCGGTCTGCCATGGGTGGAGGAAGAGATAGGTGGGCCTGGCACTGGGTCCCCCAGCCTAAAAGGCGGTTCTGGGACCAAGAAATCTGGGGGTTGTGGAGACGGAGCCAGGGGAACCCCAGGATTAGAGGAGAGGAGGGAGCGGAGATGATAAGGAAATGGAGGGTTTCCCAGTGGCCTTGGAGGATTATCTGGAGTGACTGAGTTCGGTCTTGGACAGGATAGGGCTGCAGAGGTCTGCCGTCCACCAAGGTCACCGGAACAACCCATTCCAGGGGAGTCAGGGGGATCCGTAGGCGTTTAGCCAGATCCACATCCATGAAGTTGTCGGCGGTCCCCGAGTCCACCAGAGCATGCATCTGATGTGAGGTCTCACCATGAAAGAGGGTGACAGGAAGGAGGAGTCGTGGGAAGAGACAGGGGCAGAGGGTGACCCGGGCTGAGCTACCCCGATACTCAGTGGGTTCCTTCATTTCCCAGCCGTAATGTGCAGTACAGGCGCCGGTGGTCGGGAGAGCCACAGTAGGCACAGAGACCCTCGCGCCACCGTCGCTGTCTCTCTTCCGGGGGAAGGTGGCATAGCTGCATAGGCTCCTCAGTTGAAGTGGGTCCGGGGACTGGCGTTGGCGAACGAGGAAGAGGTCCAGGAGCTCTGAGTGGGCGAGTGGAGGACCTGGGTCGAACCAGAACCCGCTGGTCGATGCGCAGCGCCAGGTCGGCAACTTCATCCAGGGTCTGGGGCAGATCTTTTCCTGCCATCTCGTCTCGGATGTAGGGTGCCAACCCCTCTAAGAAGACAGTCCGAAGGGTTTGACTGCGATGGTGCAAAACTCTGACACACAGGCGCACACCGAGCGTTCCCGTTGGCGGAGTTTTAGGAGACGTGCTTCAGCCCCCACTTCGCTACTGGGTGGAAAGAAGGTCTTCCTGAGGGCGGCCACAAAAGCAGCATAGTCATTGCAGGCAGGGGATTTTGAATTATAGAGAGCAGCGGCCCACTCCTGAGCGCGTCCAGAAAGCAGGGAGGTGAGGTGCGCCACCCAAGAGCGGGCAGTGGGGAAGCGTCCTGGTTGGCACTCGAATTGCATGTCGAGGGAGGCGAGCAGACCATCTGGGCTCCCAATCTCTCCATTCCACCTCTCCGGTAGGCTGAACTGCGGCTCCTCCTTAGGTGGAGCGAGGGCTTGCTGCTGGAGAGCATTGAGGGATGTGGATAATTGAAGGGTGAGGTCGGTCAGGGAGTTCACCTTGGTGTTGAGCCAATCGACCAAGGCGTGAAGCTGAACAATCTCATTCTTCATTCGCTCAAACTCCGCTGGGTTAATGGACTCAGTCATCCTGTCAGACTGGTCGGCTGGATACGGGAGTTGAGCTTGTAGAGAGCGTGGTTTCAATGACGCGGAAGTGATAGCGTCGGTGAAACGCCGGCTCACGGTTTAATCTAGGAATCCCCGAGCGTTCGAGCGTCAGTGAAGTGACACGGAGATGCCGGGTTTTCCAGAAGTAAGTAAGAGCACTTACTGTGAGCAGATAGTTCGTAGGATGGATCGGTTGATTGGAAACTATGATCATAGATCTGAAGAAACGATGACTGAGTGGTGAGCTGGGGAGGCAACTTCCGTATATAGTCACGGTTATTGACGTAGGTGTGATGTGGAGGGAATTCCCGCAAGGAGAATGCTGGGAGTTGTAGTCCATGGTGGAGATCGGCTAGCTGGGAGAGGCTGGTTTGGGGACTTGGGTTCTGACACAGGTTAGTTAGGAAACTTCTGAGCCAATAGAATCACTTGCTTTTGATTTTTTTAGGCTAGTTTTTTGGGATTTGGCGTCGGATGGATGCAAAGTCAAAGTTCCATTAGTTGTCACACACACACAGGTGTGTGTGCGAAATATGTTCTCCGCATTTTACCCATCCCCTGGGGGGCAGTGTAATGACCTGGCTGGGGTTGTAAGCCAGGTGCATTCTGGGTATTGTGTTATATGTGTTTCCTATCGTTCTGCTAGCCCTGGGGGTTGCAAGCTACAACAGCCACGAATCAGCTTTGTGTGATGTTGTGCAGATGGATTACACAAAGGGATTGGATTGTTTTTACTATAACATGGATTATGACCATGAATCAACAAAGGTAAGACTGAATTTATGATTTTCACGTCATGAAATGAGCTGTGGTTTGTTAGCTGCTGGCTCTGTGAATTTTGCACGTAGAGTGCATAAATATTGTTGGAAAGAGAAGAGCCTGGGCTTTAATTTAAACGGCGGATTCTGTGGATAGGATATTGGATTTTGGCTACTGTGTGTGTTTCTCTAAGTGCGTATTTAGTGTCTTTTTACGTCCTTTTGATTTAACTGCTTATTGTTGAATTGGATGTTGTTGATAGAGAAAACTCTGGTTCTGTTGTTTGGAACATCAGTTCTTCCCGTTCTGCATGTGTGCAGTTTATACATTGGTGAATATTAGGCATGTTTTTGGAAGGACTTTGTTACTGTGAATTATGCGCGGACCTGTTACTGCATTGAGGTTGAGTTTCAATTTACAACTGATGACATCCACAGACAACATCCCCCACACTTTTGAAAAGCTTGCAACACTCCTGCTTTCATTGTCTTGACACCGTGGTCCTCGTCGGTTTCTCAGTTTAGAAGTCGCACAAGCACAGTCACAGCTGGGATGACATCAGAGGCTATGCGTCGTAGCTGCTCACTTTTTAGTTAGTTCCTCAAAGGGGGCGAGGATGGCAACAGCCTTCTCAATAAGAGCCCATTGGTGAGCGGTGAGACAGTCAGGGAGTTCATGCTCGGACACATACGCCCCCAGCACTCGCTTTTGTTCAATGAGGGACTGAAGCATGTAATACGTGCTGTTCCAGCGCGTCTGTACGTCCTGCTGCAGTCTCTTTATTGGCTGGTTCAGCTGTCCCTGAATGTCCTCGAGGCGGGAGTAGGCTAAGGCAGGATGCTTAAAATGCCCAACTATTTTTCGCCCCATTGCTATAGCATCAGCTATGCTCCCCTGTGCTAATAAGCCCTCGTGAACAGCCAGCTGGAGCGTGTGCGCGACACACGGCAGACTTGGGAGCCCTGGGTCATTCATGGCTTTAGTCATGTTTTTGGCATTGTCACGAAGCACAACGTGCACTGATGTTTTAGGTGTACCCCATGTCTGGAGCATTTCCTCAAACACATGCTGGCTGGTGTGCGAGCCGCGGAGTTGTTTCGCATGTAATATGGCTCGTTGCGGCGTGAAAATCTCGTCTATCCACTGGGAAGTTAGGCTAATTAGCGACACGGGGCTAACACTGCTGGTCCAAATATCCGTGGTGAAACTAAACTCAGAGGAGGCTTGCAGTCGGCTGTGGATATGTTTTTTCACAGAGTCGTGCAGTTTGGGCAGCTCTGTGTCAGTCATGTAGCGGCGGCTTAGGGCATCATATCTGAGCTCCAGAACATGGAGGAGACGCAGGAATCCCACATTTTCTACCTCCGAGAGTGGCAATGTACTCCATAATAGCTTGTGTTATTCTCACAGCACATGGATTGTCTTTGGACATTTTCTCTCGTCTTGCAGGAGTTTGCTGCAGCGTGGGTTGTGTTGGTTTAGAAGCATCGGTAAACTCTTTGTACTCGTTGTCGTGTTTGGATTTTAGGTGCTTGATTAAATTACTTGTGTTAAATGTGCTTCCTTTTGCACCTCCTCTGGACAATTTCGCCGAGCACAATTTGCAGTCCGCCTTTGTTTTGTCGTCTTCCTCCACTTTGAAATAGTTCCACACTGCTGACATGTTGTTTCATCCCGTCTCACCTCGCCTTCTCCCTGCTTTGAGCTGCAGCTGGGACCCTGGGGGTGGGCACTCGGCGCCTGTGATTAACCCCTTACACGCTGCTCAAACATAGACATTTCTCAGACCGTGGTATCGGTCCCTGGCATCGAGGGACTTTTAACGAGTATGAGTACTTTAGAAAATGCGGTATCGAGGCTGATACCCGATACCGGTATCGGTGCATCCCCATAAATTTCATAACACCTGGAAGTTAGTCAACGCGCATCATCTGGTATTAACATCCCACATCTTCACTCGTCAGCTCTTAGGAGGATTACTGAAAAACCATCCTGAAGTCTCCTGAAGCACTGTCCTGATCAGCTGTTTGAAACATCAGCCACTTGGAATGATGAGAGTTGTTTTATTTTAGGCAGCAGATAAAATGAAGAGTCCCAGTTGTTTAGTGCATTAGATAGCAGGATGTGAGGGAACATCATAAACTTAGTCCTGAACGCAAACTCTTTACTGTTTTCTGCCAGTGTATGAAAATGAAAACAATCTGCTGTTTTGGTGGATTGTTTTAAACTTTTAGTGGTTCTTTTCTCAGCAGATGTGAACCAAATGCTGCCCCACACCATCAGATCATCCTGATTCCTCTATTTCTTCTTCTTCTTTGAGCTTGTTCAACTTGAGATGAATCTTTTAGGGACGATGTTTGAGCCACACCATTAAGATATTTGTGAAATAATTAATTCCATATTAAATAAAAGCATTCACTAACACATGTGGGCAGTTTACAAACTCATGCAAAAAGATTCCTGGTTTAGGTCAGGAATAATGTTTCCAATTAA